GACACCGATATTAGTTTTTGTCTATCTCCTATAGAAAAGGGTGTTTCCATTTAAAAGCGTCGAATTTGACCCACCCTGTACATACATATTTCAAGGGGGAAAGACAACGTGGTCCTTGACGAAAAAAATCTCTTCCCTAATCCTCCCCAACTAATAAACACGTCATAAAGTGGCGGCGGAACGTGGACCATGCGGCCTCGGATTTAATCCTATCGGCGCGATAAGGGCAACGGCGCGGACCAAATGGCCTGGACATGACGGTGCAAGTCCATTCATCGGGCGGACGCGAAGCTAGTGGAGTCGAAAGGGCCGATAACGTGGCTGGAGTTATGATTTTTGGAATAATGGCGAGGACCGGCAGAGATATTTTAGGCCATTAAATCATATTTCGACCGCCAAATGTCGATAGGGCCGCAGAGGATTTACGTCCGATTTTTGAGGCGGTTGGTTTGGCAGGTCGGTAGAGATATTGTTAAGCTCCCTCTACACGTAACGTTTTACCTTACATCTTAGAGCCCGAACGCACTGACGACCAGGTGGCCTTACGGATATATTGCGTACATAGATGCGTCCAGGTCCAGATAAACCTCAAGGTTTATCTCAAGATAAACGACCAGTTTCAGCAGGGCTGTCAGATCTAACGATTATTTGCGTTTTACCAATTAGAAAATACTGTAAAATATCCGAGTTAACTAAAAGAGAAGTTCCTATTCATGAGCTTATTAAATTTTCTAATATTATACATAATGCATTTAAAATATTAATGGTAATTACAGTAGGGTACAGGGCAGAGATCAAAAAGAAACTTTAAATATGCTTTTTTTATTTTTTTACCATCGAAACTCGAAGGTAGATATAATAACAAGTATCATACCAACTATAAATAGAGTATGTCATATAAAAATGTTTTGAATTTTTATTAGAACCGACCTATGATAAAAGAAAGAACTAGATTTAGGTTTCCCTTTGATCCAGTCTGTATAATATTTTTTGGTTTTTCTGCACGTGTGCAAAAACTACACATTGTAACCCGTTGCAGGTAGAACAGTAGAGCATTACAGCCATCCGATAGCCTTAAAGATCGTCGGATATCTAGTGCCTCTGATAAGATGCCTGTGTCTCCTGTAGTCACGGAAGCATCTGTATAAACTAAGTATTCATCAGTAGGTTTCCCATTCTTCACTTGTCGGGAAGTGCTGTCTTCTTTTCTCTAAAATCGGTGAGAGGCCCCCATATGTCTATTTCAATCTAGTAGATAGACTGGTGTTTCCCCATGCTTTTCTCTATCATTGGCAATATCCTCGAGTGACCGTAGTAGGTGTGGTTTTACAGATTGAATTCCCTTCATCCTAGGACAGCCTAGATATCGACCAGATCCTTCACCAGCCAGTCAATTGATTGCATGTCCAGAATTGCTTCAGTTGTCCCTACAGCTGTTATTCGCTGTACTTTTTTCTGGGGTTTCTTCCTTGTAAATTTAATGTACATGTTGCCATATTATAAGAAATTGTGTTTTCAATTAAAACCAAAAAAAATTCCAAAATTTTCATAAAATTCCAAATTTTCAAAAAAAATGCAAAAAAATCATAATCGTGTTTCTAATGTCGAAATATAATACTTCAAAAAATATTTGCACTTATTTAAGACTCACCCTGTATAATAAAATTATATTTATAAATAGAGAATCATCTTCAATTTAAACTTCAGTTTTTTTTAGATTTAAACCTCGATTTAAACTGACCAGTACAACCTAATAGATCCAGGTGACTATTTTTCCAAAGCAATCAATTTGTCCTGTCCAGAACAGAATAGAGCTCCCGCTGTTGTTTTCAAAAATTGCTCATCTGCCCGCACACCATTATATATGCGCTCGTGGACATTTTCTTTAGTCATTCAATTTGTTTCCGTTCGTTTGACGTTTTAAGAAAAGAACCTTTCTATAACTCAGCAGAATTACCTTTTGATACTTTTGTTGTTTCTAAATTGAGAAACACTATGTAAACTTTAATTACTAGTTCTTTAAATAGTTTATTTATTATTACTGAATGAAAACAACGTTACAGTGAATAAAACAGCAGATAAGAATTGATGAATTTCTTTAGTAAAATATATCCCTTCAAAAACATAAATGTAAATAATGGCAAGTCTCGCAACACAATTCTTACACTATAAAAAGTAAAAAGATCTCATGTAAAACCAAGTCAGTTTATTTTATTTTGTCTCTCGCTAAGCACCTCTTCAACAATATTGTTATAAACTGATAGTATCAATATTAGTCATGTTTATTTCTGTAATAATTATAATTACTTGGCAATTACACGATATGATATTATATTCTAATTAAAAAAACTTTATTTTTAATGGCACTGTTTTGATTTACTTAATAATCGAGAGGTAGATTATTGCTTTATAATTTAGGTGCCTGGTATATTACCATCGCCGGAAAGTCGGTTACCGGTAGCGACTAGAGAGCAACATTTGATCCATAAGAATATTTTGCGATTTTTCATTTTTTCCTTACATTATAAGCTTATGCCACTTAAAATTGAAAATTTGAAGTTCGTAACACTTCTAGAAGTACCTTAGAATTTTGATGGCGGTGAGTGAGTCGTTGGCGAAGTTAATGAAGTTTTATACAGGGTGGTGCACATTATACAGGTGTACAAAACTATTATACAGGGTGAGGAGGGTGAGTCTTAAATAAGTGCATATATTTTCAGCGCTGATAGATCTCGATAAATGAAACATACCTATTTTCTCTTTTCCGTTTTTCAAATAAGTCCAAAATAACCGAGTTAATTTAAAATTTCCAAAAATAAGATACTTTTTGCTTAAATTTTGAGTACCTAAAAAACTCACAATCGTGTTTTTGGGGTCAAAATATACCACCCCTAAATATTTGTACTTATTTAAAACTTACCCTGTATATGTATGTATTAAATACACTATATTGCATAAGATGTCTCAACACTTGATGTATTTATAACTACTCACTACTCAAAAAAAACACCCTTTATTTTATGATATAAAATACTAAAATATTATTTAAATACCTATATAACAGAGCAAAATAGCTTCAAAACATATCTCAGTAGAACTTCATTGAACGCAAATTCTTTATACAAAATTAAACCAAAACACATCTTTTCTTCCTTCAGTAAAAAGGTGTCGTCGAAGAAAACACATCCAAAACCGATATCAAAACTCTCCTTCTGTCGGAATCTGCTGTCTGGAAACCGTCAGCTTTGTGTTCAAACATCGTTTATATAAAAATTTCGACACAATGCTTCGCGGACGTGTGAAAATCCATTGTGCCCACCTAATAAGGTTATTTATGTTGTATCGCTTCACAAAAGAGGAAAAATTGCCCCTCGCACAAAAGCCTTAAACTGTTCATTGTGGCAACGGCCTAATCCCGGATTGGTTCTGAACTGTTTCGCTTGGCAGCGGGTATTAGTGCACCTATTAGCCTCCCAATATGTCTCTATAGTATCTACGTACTCTCGTACATAGGGATGGACGTAAACACGGATATGGGATTATTCCAGTGGTTAATTTGTTGCTTGGTAAGGTATGTATGTCGTTTTTCATTGTCATAATCGATTGCCACAATAACTATACTTTTTAACGTTTACTCTGTTTTATTACTCAGGTAATATTTTGAGAGATGATAACAGAAAAAAGTAGATGACGTCCAATAAAAATATTCAATTTTTTTTTAAGTAATTATGGATGGGTTTATATATGTATAAATCCGTCATGCGTCGTCTCTTGTTGTTTTTAACCAATTTTATTGGTTTATTTCAAAAATGAAAAATCATATTTCAATATTATTAGAGTGATAGAACGATGAACTATGCACGGACGCAGATGCGTATGATGCGTATCAACTCGGCTTAAGATTTTTGAGTCTTGCCAAAGTCTTGCCAAATTATAGGTTATAATGTGTGTCAAATTATGTTAAATAACCTGCGTTTTGGAAGATGATTTTTAATTTGTGTATTACCTGTGATTTATGTCTCTCGAAGAACCCATCTTTTTATGATATTTTGACGACGTTTCGTGCACTACGAAAATCCATCATTAATGAGTAAAATCAAAAAATCATCCAATTTAAATGAAATTTGGTTTTTGTATAGATTGGACCAAGGCCAACTTGGCCGTGTACGATACGTGTCACTGTGACTGTTTTGACGTAAGAAACGTGTAAGAAAAATAACGTCGTCCGATCGCGACCAAATTTGGTGGGTAGGCTATGTAAGCGACGATACACATGGTCCCACCCTGCAAAGTTGGATACGACGTTTCGTTTACATCTTTATCAGTGCGGGACTAACGATTTGATATTGAAGAAAAATGTGGATCAATTTCGACATAATTGGGGACGAGCTACAGGATGACGCACTCGACGTTTCGAACCGATGTATCTAAATGGATGAAATTATCAGGATTTTTCTTAATTATGGGTCGATTGGAACCAAACTCGGCACGTGGATAGAGGTACCCGAATAGAGTCCTCAGACGGACAGACGGTCATATTAATACAAATTTTGTGAAAGTGAATTAATTTATTTATTATTTTTTAATTTATTACTTTTTCAACATTTCAAACTACACTTTTACAAACATTAGGGTTTCCGGAACCAGAGCTGTTTTGCAGAACCGGGAATTTCGGCACCGCGCCTCTTAGGTACCGGGATTTCCCGGTTTTTCAGTATTTTAGGTACATACTGATTTATTATTGTTCAATGGTGATGCAGTTCATTCAACCAGAAAGGAATGGGGTGGTAAAATGGATAAAAAATCGAGATTTTTAATGAAAATAATATCAAATTATTAAGTAATAATAATAATAATAAATAATAAGCCTCCTAAATTCCAACCCAACGTCCACGTCGTAGGAGGTGGAAAACGGCTTAGCCGGCCAACTGGGCTCTGGTACCGCTATGTGGGTTAGCAACCCATGTAGTGTGAAATATTGCTCCAAAAAATGTAAGAAGCAATCGAGGCGGGGCAGGAGGGCAAGCTGCTCCTGTTCGGAACCGTCGTGATGATCAGCTTGCAACAGATGACGACCCAGCACCGAATAATGGACTAGAACCCGCTAGAAGTGTTTTGCAGGACATACGCCCTACAACCACCCTAGCAGGTAAAGCACGACAGAGGATGAAATGGACCGACGAAATTAACAAAAACCTACTCCTCTGTTACTTCACCGTTACTAATCTCCAACAAAATACAACAGGATATAGAAGTCAGTTATATGAGGCCTTTATGAACATCTATCCAGAACTTAGGGAAATGATCACAGAACAAAGACTATCAGACCAAATTCGAGTCATAATACAAAACAACAGAATATCTCCAACAGAAAGAGAAACTATAAGAAGACAAGCGGCCGAAGCCATACAAAATGAAGACGAACCACAAGCACAACAATCAGCTTCACCTACATCACACCCACAAACAATCACACCAGAAACACCCGAAACACATACCATGCTGACTAACACCCAAAGTTCATCAGCAGAGTCGTCGATAAGACACACCCAACACGAAACATTAATCCCGCCAACAGACACATGCAAACCATCTAATCAAATTGATAAAACATTTAATGAACTATACGCCCAATACCAGGGAGCAAACCCATCATCCAGACCTTTCATTACCAGACCACAAAACACACAAAATATCAAAAACACCATTGCAATAATTAATAAGATCATAGGAAAAAGGATTGAGGAATCAAACAGCTGCCTAGACATTGAAGAAATTCTCACGCTCGTATACTGTGGAGCAGCAACAACTATGCGAACCCACGAACAGAAGAATAAAAACAACGACTTAACTAAAACTAAAGCAGCAATACCCCCATGGCAGCATCGGCTCCAGAAAAAGATAGCCACACTGAGGAAAGAAATTGGAGTCATCACACAACATTTGAAAGGAAACCTAAAAAAGAGACCCCCGCAAAACATATTACCAGATATTAGCTCAGAAGAATCAGTAGTAGAAATATTAGATACTAAAAAACAACAACTACAGGCACAAGCAAAAAGACTAAAACGATACAAGAAGAGCCACCAAAGAAAACAAGAAAAACAAACTTTAACACTAAATGAAAAGGTTCTACAGATCTCTAGAAACAACGGAACAGCAAATAAACAATCCACCATCAATTACAGAAGTAAAAACTTCTGGGAAAATATCTGGTCACAAGCAGTAGAACACAACAGAGAAGCTCAATGGATAACAGAAGAAGAAAACAAGCAGATAAATACAACAGCCATGCCAAATGTAACAATCACCTTAGAAGACATCAAAGCTGCCATATCCAAGACAAACAACTGGAAAGCACCTGGAGACGACAAAATACAAAACTACTGGCTAAAATCATTCACAAGCATCCACAAACCACTAACGAATATATTTCAAAATTTTGTACAAGGAACGGAAGCCATTCCCTCTTTTTTAACTCAGGGAGTTACCTACCTTAAACCCAAAGGCACGGACACTGCAAACCCATCTAAGTACCGCCCTATAACATGTTTATCAACAACCTATAAATTACTAACGGCAATAATAACAACAAAGATCAACACTCACCTGCAGAATAATAATCATATCAGAAGAGCAGAAAGGATGCTGTCAGGGATCTAGGGGCTGCAAGGAGCAACTGGTGATAGATGCAGAAATACACACTCAAGCCAAATTAAAACGTAAGTCTCTACATTTTGCATACATAGATTATCAGAAAGCTTTCGACACTGTCCCACACTCCTGGCTCATACAAGTTCTACAAATATACAAAATCCACCCTCAAATCATACAACTTCTGCAGAGAATCATAGCAACATGGAAAAACTACTCTAAACATCAAAATGAAAAACAACTCATCCACACAGAACCAATTCAAATTAATAGAGGAATTTTTCAGGGTGACTCCTCAGTGCACTCTGGTTCTGTATTGCGCTCAACCCCCTATCGAACCTACTCAACAAAACGCCCCAAGATGCTTATAAAATACCCTCACTCACACATCCATCTACCATCTCGCACCAGCTATATATGGATGACCTAAAGCTTTATGCAGCAACTAGAAAACAACTCAACAACCTTCTCAATATTACAGAAACATACAGTGAAGACATCCAAATGAAACTAGGAACAGATAAATGTAAAATAAACAGCATTATAAATGGAAAACACTCGATACAGGAAGAATACATTCTACAAGACTCAAATATCATACAGAATATGGAAATGGATGAGACATACAAATACCTTGGATACCTACAAAAAACAGGATTAGAGCATGCCAACATAAAACAGCAACTAAAAAAGCAAATACAAAAACAGAATAAACAAATACTCAAACAGAACTGGTCCGGTCGAAACAGCAGCACAAATACCTATGCAGCGTCCGTCCTGACGTATTCATTTGGCGTTATAAAATGGAGTGACACGGAATTAGAAGAACTAAACAGGTTAACAAGAACAACATGTAACAAGTACCGAATACACCATATACACGCAGCAACAGAAAGATTTACACTAAAAAGAAAAGAAGGAGGAAGGGGATTCATGGATCTAAAGAACATGAACTACAAGCAAATACACACACTCAGAGAATATTTCAGAGAGAAAGCAGTTATCAGCCCACTACACCGAAGCATTGTTAACCTAACAACATCAGGTACACCGTTACAATTCAACAATGAAGCATTCATACCAGTTGATGCAATTACAACAACAAACACTAAAATTGAAAATGGAAATCCAAAGCCCTACATGGAAAACATGCAAACCAACTAACACAACCACACATTGACATAGCAGCATCCAATGCATGGCTTACTCAAGGTAACCTGTTTGGAGAAACCGAGGGTTTCATAATAGCAATCCAGGACCAGATCATCGCCACACGTAATTACCAGAAATACATAATCAAAGACCCCAAAACACCTACAGACAAATGCAGACTATGTCACACACAAACCGAAACAATAGAGCACATAACCGGGGGATGCCCTATACTTGCTCCCAGACAATATACCCAAAGACACGACGATGTTTGCAGAATAATCCATCAAGAAATAGCAAAGAAATATTCACTCATCTGCAACCATACACCATACTACAAATATCAAGCAGCTAACGTTCTAAAAAATAAGACAGCCAAGCTCTACTGGAACCGGAATATAATCACAGACAAAACCACACCAAACAACAAACCAGACATCACGCTCATCCACAAACCAACCAAAACGACATTCTTAATAGAGATATCCATACCAAATACACAAAATGTCAAGAAGAAACACACTGAAAAAAATTGAAAAATATATACCTCTAGCAGAAGAAATAAGGCAGATATGGCACCAGGACATTGTAAAAATTATACCAATAATAGTGTCATCAACAGGATTGATCCCAAAATCATTACATGATAGTCTGAAAGGCCTTGAACTTCCACCAAAACTTTATATACCCATTCAAAAAACAGTTATCCTCCACAAATGTAATATTACACGACAAGTCTTAAATACACAGTAAAAAGCGTTGACGCTTGACTTAAGTCCGCGACTACGTTAAATACCGGAAAGCCTGAGATTCAAGAACATAATAATAATAGAGGAGGCGGAAACGCTTAGCGGCCAACTGGGCTCTGGCACCGCTATGTGTTGGGGCAACCCATGTAGTGTGAAATATTGCTCCAAAAAATGTAAGAAGCAATCGAGGCGGGGCAGGAGGGCAAGCTGCTCCTGTTCGGAACCGTCGTGATGATCAGCTTGCAACAGATGACGACCCAGCACCGAATAATGGACTAGAATCCGCTAGAAGTGTTTTGCAGGACATACGCCCTACAACCACCCTAGCAGGTAAAGCACGACAGAGGATGAAATGGACCGACGAAATTAACAAAAACCTACTCCTCTGTTACTTCACCGTTACTAATCTCCAACAAAATACAACAGGATATAGAAGTCAGTTATATGAGGCCTTTATGAACATCTATCCAGAACTTAGGGAAATGATCACAGAACAAAGACTATCAGACCAAATTCGAGTCATAATACGAAACAACAGAATATCACCAACAGAAAGAGAAACTATAAAAAGACAAGCGGCCGAAGCCATACAAAATGAAGACGAACCACAAGCACAACAATCAGCTTCACCTACATCACACCCACAAACAATCACACCAGAAACACCCGAAACACATACCATGCTGACTAACATACAAAGTTCATCAGCAGAATCGTCGATAAGACACACCCAACACGAAACATCAATCCCGCCAACAGACACATGCCAACCATCTAATCAAATTGATGAAACATTTAATGAACTATACGCCCAATACCAGGGAGCAAACCCATCATCCAGACCTTTCATTACCAGACCACAAAAAACACAGAAAAGGACAAACACCATTGCAATAATTAATAACATCATAGGAAAAAGGATTGAGGAATCAAACAGCTGCCTAGACATTGAAGAAATTCTCACGCTCGTATACTGTGGAGCAGCAACAACTATGCGAACCCACGAACAGAAGAATAAAAACAACGGCTTAACGAAAACTAAAGCAGCAATACCCCCATGGCAGCATCGGCTCCAGAAAAAGATAGCCACACTGAGGAAAGAAATTGGAGTCATCATACAACATTTGAAAGGAAACCTAAAAAAGAGACCCCCGCAAAACATATTACCAGATATCAGCTCAGAAGAATCAGTAGTAGAAATATTAGATACTAAAAAACAACAACTACAGGCACAAGCAAAAAGACTAAAACGATACAAGAAGAGCCACCAAAGAAAACAAACTTTTTAACACAAATGAAAAAAGGTTCTACAGATCTCTCGAAACAACGGAACAGCAAATTAACAATCCACCATCAATTACAGAAGTAAAAAACTTCTGGGAAAATATCTGGTCACAAGCAGTAGAACACAACAGAGAAGCTCAATGGATAACAGAAGAAGAAAATAAGCAGATAGATACAACAGCCATGCCAAATGTAACAATCACCTTAGAAGACATCAAAGCTGCCATATCCAAGACACACAACTGGAAAGCACCTGGAGACGACAAAATACAGAACTACTGGCTAAAATCATTCACAAGCATCCACAAACCACTAACGAATATATTTCAAAATTTGTACAGAAACGAAGCCATCCCCTCCTTTTTAACTCAGGGAGTTACCTACCTTAAACCCAAAGGCACGGACACTGCAAACCCATCTAAGTACCGCCCTATAACATGTTTATCAACAACCTATAAATTACTAACGGCAATAATAACAACAAAGATCAACACTCACCTGCAGAATAATAACATCATCAGCCATCAGAAGAGCAGAAAGGATGCTGTCAGGGATCTAGGGGCTGCAAGGAGCAACTGGTGATAGATGCAGAAATACACACTCATGCCAAATTAAAACGTAAGTCTCTACATTTTGCATACATAGATTATCAGAAAGCTTTCGACACCGTCCCACACTCCTGGCTCATACAAGTTCTACAAATATACAAAATCCACCCGCAAATCATACAACTTCTGCAGAGAATCATGGCAACATGGAAAATTACCCTAAACATCAAAATGAAAAAAAAAACTCATCCAACACAGAACCAATTCATATTAATAGAGGAATTTTTCAGGGTGACTCCCTCAGTGCACTCTGGTTCTGTATTGCGCTCAACCCCCTATCGAACCTACTCAACAAAACGCCCCAAGATGCTTATAAAATATCCTCACTCACACATCCATCTACCATCTCGCACCAGCTATATATGGATGACCTAAAGCTTTATGCAGCAACTAGAAAACAACTCAACAACCTTCTCAATATTACAGAAACATACAGTGAAGACATCCAAATGAAACTGGGAACAGATAAATGTAAAATAAAACATCATTTATAAATGGAAAACACTCGATACAGGAAGAATACATTCTACAAGACTCAAATATCATACAGAATATGGAAATGGATGAGACATACAAATACCTCGGATACCTACAAAAAACAGGATTAGAGCATGCCAACATAAAACAGCAACTAAAAAGCAAATACAAAAACAGAATAAAACAAATACTCAAAACAGAACTGTCCGGTCGAAACAAAGTGAAAGCAATAAATACCTATGCAGCGTCCGTCCTGACGTATTCATTTGGCGTTATAAAATGGAGTGACACGGAATTAGAAGAACTAAACAGGTTAACAAGAACAACATGTAAAAAGTCTACCGAATACACCAATACACAGCGGCAAACAGAAAGATTTACACTTAAAAAGAAAAGAAGGAGGAAGGGGATTTATGGATCTAAAGAACATGAACTACAAGCAAATACACACAGTCAGAGAATATTTCAGAGAAAAAGCAGTTACCAGCCCACTACACCGAAGCATTGTTAACCTAACAACATCAGGTACACCGTTACAATTCAACAATAAAGCATTCATACCAGTTGATGCAATTACAACAACAAACACTAAATTGAAAAATGGAAATCCAAAGCCCTACATGGAAAACATCCAAACCAACTAACACAACCACACATTGACATAGCAGCATCAAATGCATGGCTTACTCAAGGTAACCTGTTTGGAGAAACCGAGGGTTTCATAATAGTAATCCAGGAC